AAATTGACAGAAGAGAAAATTTATATTGAATATTGAATGTCACATGCATTAAAATGATAAACATTAGTTCTTTCTGTTTTTAAATAATATGTAAAAAATTTTTAATTATAATAAAAAGTTATATGTAAAGATTATAGTATCATCAGTAAACTTGTTAAAAAAAAAATTAAAATTAAAATACATTTTAGTGATCTTTTTTTTTTTTTTTTTTTGTATACCTGTTAGTTGATATTTTTTATGTACTTTAATGATATAATATATATATATATATTTTTGAATTATTTAAATAATTTTGATGAACAAATGATTTAATAAAGACTTACATATCCAACAGATTACACATCCCTCTCCCTCTCCCTCTCTCTCTTTGTCTCTCATCTCTCCCTCTCTCTCTCTCTCTTTCTCTCTGCTTATCTCTCAGCACATGTATAGGGCATCACAGAGTCGCCCAATTGCATTTGCTACTAGTTTTTGTTGCTGTTCTTGTTGTTGTCGATGGTTGTGCATTTTGCATGCAATAAAAATATCGCATGCTGTAAAGAATGTGAGCAGTGTGCAGTGCACTGGAAATTGTAAATTCATGTTATGGCCAGGCGACGGCACTATGGAAATAAGCGAGCAGCGTAGAGAGAGGGATGAAGCGAGCGAGAGTAAGGGAGAGAGGGATGGTGAGGGAGCGGGAGATTGAGGGCGAAGGGTTGAGAATGATGGCGAAGGTTGCCTAGGATAGGTTGTTGTAGGGGTTTCGTCACTTGGGCGAAGGCGTCGCTGCAAAATATAGTCCAGTTACTTGGCGCAATTGAGAGGGTCGAGTGAGGGGGAGAGAGAGGGAGAGAAAGCTAGTTGCGAACAGGCAGCATGTGTTTATTGCCAGCCAGAAAATGATGATTACACGTAATGTGTAAATGAAGGGGGCTGATGCCGACTGGCTGACTGGCTGGCTGGCTGGCTGGCTAGAAAGCGAAGGGCTCGAAGGGTCTACGCTGAGGCGTGTAAAGCCCCGGAAAAGCAGCCGGAAAAAGCAAAAGCAAAAACTAACAGACGTTGGCGCTGCCAATGGACAACTGCAGCGCCAGTGCCATATGCGTGTGTGGTTGCAGCAGGAGTAGCAGCAGCAGCAGCAGGAGTAGCAGGAGTAGCTGAAGAACAAGTTGATGAAGAAGCAGCAACAGCCACAAGGCAGCCCGCCTGGCGACACGAACGAGCATCAGACGGAGCTAAATATATAAATATATATATATATATATATTTATAGACAAACAATGTCGGATGGCTGAATGAAGGCGGCGAAACAAGCAACGGGCCAAGGCAAAGGATACAAAGCAGGAGTCGGCCACGTTGTAGTTATTGCAATTGCAAGTGTTTTGCTGCTTTGCCAACGAATTCACAGGAATTCCAGCTACAGCTAGAAACCAACTTCAAAATAAAATAGAAATAAAATAAAATAATGCCAGCTAAATAAGCCAGAGCATTCTTTGAGAGAGTGTTCAACCTTTATCTGTTACAAACAAATATCATTTTACTTAATTACACTCTGCTTATATACCTTTCTCTCTCTCTCTCTCTCTCTCTCTCCCTGTCCCTCTCCCGCTCTCTGCCAGTTTTAAATTAATTACGCTAGCGATTTTCAGCTGTAAGCAAGCTAAGATAAAAATGTTGGCTAGCAGATCTCTATGGCATCTGGCTTTCGTGTTTATCTACGAATTTCTCTCTCAAAAACTGTCAAAGCTAACATTTTTTATACACTTCTCTTTCTACTGGAAGGGCATAATGCGTTTTTGCTAATTTATTTAGCGTGCAGCAGGAGGCGGGCTGGAGCACAGTTGATTAAGACTATTATCTGTAAGTTCGTCATCGTGTGCATCTCAGGACCTACAATATAAGAGCGACAAAGTCCCTCAGAGCAAGTTTGTTTAAAATTAAATCGATATCTAATCCTAACCTATAAGGGATAGGTTATGAGATCTTACCAGAAATAAGTACTAAAAGTATATCTCATTCATCTCTACAGTCCACAAATTTATATATGTATATGTGTATATATATAAATATATAAGTTACAACCTTATTATTTTTTCCTGGCCATAAATACACGAACCTCTCCTCAAATTGATGTACTCAAATCTTGTTTGATGGCTGAATTACGTTCTGCTTTGCTGCAATCAATAAGTTCCTCTGCCCCTGCTTACTTGAACTGTTGTTTTTCAGTCTCATAACTTGGCTAAGCTCAAAGCAAACCAATTCCCAGTTTCCATTTGAAGTTCTGGATCTATTTCTAGTTCAAATGCTGTCTCTATCTCTCTATGCAAACTGTTCATTATGTGCCATGATATACATGTACATCTAAGCATATGTAAGAGCTGTTCTGTATGCATTTTATGCTAAGCCAAATATGGTATCCAATCATGTCACGCCCCTTGCGGCAATGTCAACGCCCACCCGAAAAAGCCCAAGTGAAACTCATTATAATTTCATTGCAAGTCATTTCCATAGTGTTTTTCGATAGCTAGAGAGGGAGAGAGAGAGAGTGGGAGTATGTTTCCGTGTGTGTGTGTGAAAGAGATGGCATATAAAAACAATAAACTGCAACATAATGAAATGAAAATCGCCTAGGAAGCAGGCAAGTAAGTACTCTATATATGTATATACAATATAAAGTTACCAAAACATGCAAATTTAGCCAAACTGAGGGGGTTGAGGGGTGGCAGGGGCGTGACTCGTGGGCGAGCGCATTAAGTTGTCAGGCAGCTGGAATGTGAATGCGAATGTGAATGGAGATGCGAGTGGATGCGAGAGGAAGACCTTGCATTACAATTGAGTTACAGTTCAGTTTTTAGTTTTTGCGATTATTACGGCTAGCCGAAGGGTAGCCGGGGGAAGGCGTGGCAGGCGCTAGCACTAGAAAGGCCAAGCTGAAGCTGAGCTTGTACCGCGCTCATATTGTGCAAAACAATGAATTTACATGGATTTTTTTTTTTTTTGTTGCAAAAACATATTTTTTGCTCGCCTTCCATTTTTTTTTTGTATCCCTGCTCGTTTTACATAAACAAGAACAAAATGCGAGCAAGGGGAGTTGCACACACACACACATACGTACATCTCTATATATGTGTGTATTTGACTGCACTTGGTCTCACTGCCACGCCCCCAATGCGGCTGGTTACAGCTGCAATGACTTTTAGGCCGTGGGCGCTGCGTTGGCAGCAGATTAAACTTCGCTTGTAATGAGAATTTTTCCAACTGTTGTTGTTGTTGTTGTAGTTGTTGCTGCTGCTGCTGCTGCTGTGTGGGTGGCTGCTGCAGGCGACTCTTGTTGCAGTCGCTGTTGCTGCAATTGTTGCAGCTAGAAATGTAACCCGCAACGTCAGCACGTGCAACGCATCAGCGAAGGTTTTTTATTTCTTTTCTTTTCTCTTCTCTTTTTTTGTTGTTATATTTCATGTGTGTGTGTGTGTGTGTTTCGCCCAAGGGCGGCATAGATGGGCGTGGCACGCGTTTATCACAACCCAAAACGTCATTAGTAAGCGGCACATGAAAAACAAAACTTTTATGAGCGCATTTGAAAGTCAATTGAAGGCGAGCTGGGCTGGTCACCCACATACCCTGGAAAGAGCAAGAGCAACAGGTGTCTGCGCGACTATGGGCTAATTTGTCAATATATCGATTGCTA